GAACTAACAATGAACAGTTAGTACAATAAATACTGTAATAAATGTATTGCTTATTGTAAGTTGATGTTAGATAAATCATTAACATTAACTAACCGGACCATATTGTAAAGTGTTACCAACATAGTTTGCTTAATTTCACATAACAGAAAAATAAATGGATAAAAATAATGAATTGACTAAAAAAAGATTTCAATAATAATAATTTATTTATTAGAGAATCTTAGAAATCTATTATTTTTAAATTTGGGATTTTTAAAAACATACTGCAATCCCGAAATCACATACTGTATTTACTGTAAAAAACATTGTACACCTTTTATAATAAAATGAAGATGTTTCATGTAATATCCGCCTGAAGTTTTATTATATTTGAAATGTTGCATATTTCTATATTATATTTAAATACTATAAGACATTTATAAATATATAAAATTCTACATTACATTTATATTACATACACTTAAATCAAACAGCCTTCATTTAAACTATGAAAATAATGACTTAACACAGAACATGCATTGAACATTATTAAAAAGAACTCAAAATTAATATAATTAAATGTATTTTTAAACAAACAAGTTTATCAAACAAAAAAAAACCTTACATTTAAATAATTAGTTTAAAGAGCATTAGCCACTTCACACATACTCTACTCCGAGCTAGAAGTTAGCGGTGAGTTGTGATGAATGTTTCCTCACCTCCTGGTCCTGGGTCTGCTGCGAGTGGCTGGTCTCAGTGTGATGTGGACAGTGTTCACAGAGCTGCGTGTTGATTCCTCTGCTCCACTAATCCACTGACACAACACACACTGACATCGGCTGTTTACTCACACCTACAGCATCCACATTTAGAAAGCCTTCACATTTATTTTCTTTGACAAGCAAAGAATTACTTTGTCATGTCGAATATTACACAAACATCATGTATCTGTACATGTCTAGATGTGTTATTATTTGTAAACAACACAATCAGCCTGATTGTCTTAAGTGGTCCACAGGAAAACAATGTGATGTAATCAGTCTTCTGACGTTTTCACAGAACAACGTGATGTGTTTTGAAGGACTACTAATAGACTGAGCTTCCTTCAAATAAATGGGTGCATCTCTGTCAATGACCTCTACAACTCATATTTCACCCCAAACCTAAGCCTATTCTTTACATCATAGCATTATTTGTATGAAGTTTAGGAAGAAGCCCTATTCTCATTACCATAAGGCAAAAAAAACAACAACAGTATGTATAGGTGTTTGTTTATATATATGTATATATACACACACACACACATACACACACACACACACACACACACACACACACAGGTTTGTTTTTGTGAAAAGTGGGTTTTTTATACTGTACAGACCGTATACTCTATTGCCCTACACCAACCCTATCCCTAAACCTACCCCTTACAGGAAACTTTGTGCTATTTCAGATTTTCAATACACTCCATTCTGTGTGATTTATAAGCGTTTTGAAAAGTGGGGACATGGGGTAATGTCC